GTGAAACGCTTTCTCCCGTCATGCAGCGCGAGGAGGGATTTAACACCAAGATGGCGGACGGCCCGGATGAGTACGATACCGAAGCGGGCTGCGTGCCCCTTCTCCATCCTGAGGTGAGGAACTGCGCCGAGCGCATTCCTCGTCCTACGCCCCACCAGCCTTTCTCCTTCAGATTCGCTGAGGACGCTGGACTGCATGTGTGGGGCAGTGGGACGCGCCGAAGTTGGGGAGGTTGGGGAGGGCGGGGAGGGGAGTTCAGGCCCGAGCGCCGCTGCGAGCGGATAACGGGGGAGGAGATAGCGGGGCGGGCCCGGCCGGGGCGGGCTCTGGGACAGAGTCCCTGGCTGTGCCTGGAGGACAGAGGTGGAGGTGTTAATGGTTTTGCTTGTTGCGGGTGCAGTGGTGGTGAGGGCCTGGTGCAGATTTAGACCACAGCTTAAGCCGTTAGTATTGCTTCAAACCTCTTGGGGACGAGAAGGAAGCGCGTCTGTGTTTGATTTGTTTTCCTTCTTTAGGGGGAAAGACGGTACCTAGTTCTTCCATTTAGCTCACTGTGGGCGAGTGTAGGGTAAGAAGACAATTTCTTGGACAAAGTGATGTCCTTCCAGGTTGTGCCATACGCAGTACCTCGGGGCACCTTGTGTCGGATGCCCTCATTTGAGCGTTTGTCCTTAAGCGATTAAAAAGAGAGGTCAAAACTTTTGGGAATTCTAACCACTCTCACATTAGCTTGTCAAAGTATTGTTTTTCTTTTTCTTTTTTTAAAAATAAAGAACCGATGGACGATAGTGCAACACGTTTCCCATCATAACCTGAGTATCTTCCTATGTAAATAAACAGTGCCCCGTTCCAGGATCAGTCTTAGTTTATAGCTGAGCTAGTGTTAGTTCAGGCCTGGAAGCAATTCTGGTTCTTATGATCTACTGTGATGTGTGATGGGGCAGCGGGACCTCTTCCAGAAGAACTAGGGTCGTTTCTATGAGGGATGAAGACAATCGGTGAACAAACATGGAACTCTCGGCTAGGTGGTTGGGTATTCCTTAGAATGATTCTGTTTATTTATGGATTTTGATATGTAGTGTGCTTTTTTTGGGGGGGAGGTGTAGAAGGTGAATAAAGACAAGTATGACTCACTCAGCCATCCTATCATTCATTGGTTTGGTTCACCAAAAGCAAATGGGAAGATTCTTTAGGACTATTCCTTGGCCAGTCTTAATAGAAAAGGCTTCTCTGGATTTAGGACAACCAACTGTACAGTAAGACCAAACATTTTCTTTTTTAGACCAAAATAGTAACACTTTCTTAACTGGTAGTGTAGACATCTTTCTTTTGGTTCAGACTAAAAAAATAAGTAAGTAATAACCCATTGCCAGTAAGTTGATTCCGACTCATAGTGACCATGTAGGACAGAATAGAACTGCTCATAGGTTTCCATGGCTGTCATATCTTTCTCCCAAGGAGCAGCTGGTGAGTTCCAAAGAACCTCTGACCATTTGGTTAGCAGTGGAACACTTTAACCACTGTGCCAGCAGGATATGTCAAGAAATAGACAAAGTAATTTCCATATAGTGCTTTGAAAACATTGAAATACTGTTAATCTGTTTCTGAGAAAGTATTTTAAATACTTAAATGTTTATACTGTATATTTTAACATTCTGTTCTTTCTCCATAAACTTTTGTTTTGTGAAATAGTATGGTATTTTGCTACTTGAAGAGTAATTTTTAACTTGTAACAAATCCAGCAATGCTTGATATAATGGATGACTACCAGTAAGCTTGAAGTTTAGAGATCAGCCTTCAAGTTGACAGTTAATAGTTATAACTTACTCACTGCTGTCCAGTTGGATCCGACTCATAGTGACCCCTCCTTGGGTTTCCAAGGCAGTATCACTATGGAAGTTGATTGCCCAATCTTCCTTCCGAGGAGATGTTATAACTTGAAAATTGATTTCCTGATCTTTAAAAGTAGAAGCCCTGGGAGCTCAGTGTTTAAGTGCAAGGCTGCTAACTGAAAGGCAGGTGGTTCTAACCCATAAGCCATGTTGTGGGAGAAAAGACCTGGCAGTCTGCTCTGGTAAAGAATATAGCCTAGAAAACTCTGTGGAGCTATTTATTCTTCTTTGTTCTATTGGGTTGCTAAGAGTCTAAATTGACATGATGGCACACAACAACAAAAGTGGGAGTTGGAATAAATAAAATCTTACTTTTAACTCAACAAAAACAAGATCTGTTTGGTTGAGATGTTTTGGTTCTTAAGCTTATAACTATATGAGCTGAGATCTTTCTGCATTTTTCTTGTTAACACCTGGTATAGACCTGGTATAGTTCTACCACTTCCTAGTAGACTGTTCTTGGGCAAGTTAGTTCTCTGAGTTCTAGCTTCTTCATTATAATAACAAGATCATCACATCATACCCTGTTTCTGTTGAGTAGATTCTGACTCAAAGAGAACCTAGAGGACAGAGTAGAACTGTCCCATATTGTGTCCAAGGTGTAATCTCCACAGTATCAGACTGCCACATCTTTCTCCCACAGAGGAGCTGGTGGGTTTGAACCTCTGACCTTTTGGCTAGCAGCCATGTAATAATGGGATAACAATTGGAAAAAAAATTAAGTTGCCAGCCCAGTCAGTTTCAACTCAGGGTGATCCCTTGTGTTGTAGATTAGAAGAAGTGCACTCCGTAGGATTTTCATGCTGTGACCTTTCAGAAGCAGATTACTAGGCTTGTCTTTGGAGGCACCTCAAGGTGGGTTCAAACTGCTATCTTTTCCCTTAGTAGCTGAGCACATAACCATTTGCTCCACCCAGGGAACCCTGGAATTATAAATTTACCAAATAAACTTTTGGGGAACCTTAGTAGCAAGTTGTGGTTAAAAGCTCAGCTGCTAATCAGAAAGGTTGGTGGTTCAATTACCACTGCTCCACAGGAGAAAGGTGTGGAAGTCTGCTTCTGTAAAGGTGGAGCAGTTCTGCCCTGTCCTATAGGGTCACTGACTTAGAATTGACTCAGTGGCAGTTGGGTTTGTTGTTTTGGTAATAGCTGTTGTGAGGATTAAATTATATATATATTTATATATAGGAGCTCTGGTAGCGTAGTGCTTAAAGGCACTTGACTGCTAACCAGAAGGCTGGCGGTTCAAACCCACCAGCCACTCTACTTCCGTAGTGATACTGCCTTGGAAACCCAAGGAGGGGTCGTTGTGAGTCAGGTCCGACTCAGCACATAACAACAACAACATATGTTTACTGGGCATTAGGGGATTAGATGATACTGTATGCTGATGTTTAAGAACTGGCACATTGTAGGAACATGCTGTTTCCTTTTCCTCTATCAGAGGAAGAAGGGATAAACAGGAACAATTTTTATTTTACTTACTTTCACATTTAACACTGTATTGGTCACAGAATAATTTCTCACTAAATATATGTTGAACAGATGGATTATTTGTAGGGTAAAGAAATTAGCCATTGATCAAATCCTTCTTTGGTTTGCAAGTTCTTTACTATTAAAACCTTTCCTAGTGGATTACATAACTAGAGGTGTTTGATGTAAGAGATCCTTACTTTTTAATTGATTAAATAATTCATACATTTAGTTAGTTTACACATTTATATATCTTGCATTGTATCAGAGGAGCCCTGATAGCATAGTGGTTAAAGTGCTTGGCTGCTAACCATAAGGTTGGCAGTTTGAACACACTAGCCACTCAATGGGAGAAGAATGTGGCAGTCTGCTTCCATAAAGATCACAGTCATGGAAACCCCATGGGGCAGTTCATCTGTGTCATACTGGGTCACAATGAGTCAGAATTGACTCTCCGGCAGTGGGTTTGGTTTTTGGTTTTGGATTGGATCAGGTACTGTGCTGGGCTCTGTATAAGATTTGAAGATTTTATGATAAATTCAATGAGAAACCCTACAGGAGACACTTTAAGAGTTGAGGCGCTGCTGACAAACTGGCTTGGGTTTGAACCTAAGTCTTTCCATTTTGTCATCATTGTCAAATTACAGTGATAAATAGTATCTACTTCTTAGAGTTACTGTATTTGGTAAGATAATCTTTATCAAGGACCTAGACATATAGGCTGCCAAGCAAATCAAACCTGAAGACTCTGACATATAGTACAAAATGAAAGGGAAGCTACTGCTATTTTTTTTTTTTTTCCTAATGAAACAGATGATTATTCATTTTATCATAATGGAAGAAATCAGAGTTTGGTAGGTTGGAAAAACTATGAATAAGGGGATTAGGGTGCTAGGCCCAGCTCTGTGACTTTGAGCTAGTGTTCACTTAACCAATCTATTCTTTGCTTTTAAGTTAAGAGGCTAGACTAGATAATCTTTAAGATGTTTTTCAACTCTATTCTAATTCTAAGTAGTGATTTTTCAAGATCAGTCTCTTGATCATCTATTAGGTACTAGGTTATATGGGTATAAATAAAATAAATAGGATAGCTTTAGCTCCCCAGAGGTTAGTGATGCTTTTAAGAAGCTATATACATATGAAACACTTAAAAGAATCCAGATAGGTGCTGAATTGAGTACTGTAGCCTTTAAGCCGTGTCACATTCTTGCCATCTAGAATGGTTAGAAGAAAGATCTTGGTAGAGGAACAGAGACGATATGTTGGTCTACGGGTACAGCTGACTTGCTGACAGCAGTCTTCAGTTTCATCTTCTAGTACATCAGTAAGCCGTCTCAGCTCTTTCATGGAATAAGACCACAATACCCCCTTCTGCCAAAGTGTTATAAAGTGCTCTGTTTCAGAAAGCTCTGACTCAGAGCTTTGAACTGGATTGCCTAATTATCTAGGCCTTTCATCTGTCTTCCTCTCTTCCTTTTCTTTTTGTTAATTTCATAACTTTTGCTAATGCTTTCTCTCTAGTTACTCACGTTTCTTACTTTGTTTATAATAAAAACAACTCATTGCAGTCAAGTCATTTTGACTCATAGCGACCCCTCCTTGGGTTTCCAAGGCTGTATCTCTACTGAAGTAGATTGCCCAATCTACTTCACACCCACCAGCCTTCTGGTTAGCAGTCAAATGCCTTAGGCACTATGTTACCAGAGCTCCTACCAGAGGTCTAGTAAACTAAAATATTATCAGGTATA